GGGTACGATGTATTCAGTATGCGCATAAGCATGCCGACCAGCCATCGCATCTGCCTCCTAGTTGAATTCGCGAAAAACGCGTCGACGCAAACCAGAATGAACTCGACGCGGCTGGAAACAGAGATCTATGGACAAACGTTCAAACCAACGATGTAGAAGCTTAAACCTCGCATCGTAAACAGAATGATTGCACTTCCACGCACCGTTAATCCACTTGACAATCGACGCGCTGTCGCCCACCAATCCAACGCGCGACGCGCGCGAGGGGCCTCGCGCCCATGGCACGGGCACGCACGCGACTGCACGGGGCTGTCAGATAATACCCACGGAAACGCGCGAACTCGGTCTTCTCGGGAAGCGATCCCCCGACGGGCGCCCGGACAACAACATGCACGCGGCGTCGCGGAAAGCTCCTCGCCGTTGCCGCCAAGACGTTGATGCAACTACTAAAACGGCTTCCGACTTGAACTGTTTTCCGGGTCTGTCATGCCGCCCCACTGCCCCTGGTTACTTGGGTCCGCGATGGCACCGGTGGTCTGCGCGGCGCGCCGCCACTCCGCATCTTCCCACGCTACACACGCAGCAACGAAGCACTGCGCAGGCACCAAGCAACACGGGACAACAACAGGAAACGCAACCCAATTGCAATACTGTTCAGTGCGCCTGCCGCTGCAATCCTCGCATACGCGAGCAAAACAACGGCCAGCGACTATGCGAAGAGCGCCCAAGAATAGCGAAATGACGCTGGCACACCCTGCCCCATGAAAAGTTTTTCCTGACAAGCGAGCGCGGCGGCGGAGGTGCTGCACGAAGTCTTCCTCGAGGCGGAGGCGATGGCATCCCACGCGACGAAGATGCGCATTCCCCAATCGATCAAGCTCATCGTAGGCACGCCGACGCCAAGTCCACGCACCAGCACCATGCAAAGCCACAGGCTGAACGCGTTTAGAACATCCAGCGCACCTTTGGGCGACACTCAAAGCCTCGCACTGCCGCGCGTCGGAGAAAAACCAGACAGCGCCAAGTGCCTTGGCCAAGCGATGCCGGACAACAAGGAAAGAATCCCCAGGCGATGTGATCCGAGTGCCAAGAACTCCCATTTCTTGGACCAGTTGGACTCTCACTGGGCGGCCGTGCCGCCACAGTTCGAAACCAGCCTTTCCGCGACATGCGTTGAGAAGATGGACGGGGCGCTGGTTTCCATTGCGTCATCGACGCCAGTACATCGGCGAAGTCCCGCGCCATGGCTTGGGCCGCCTCCATCGAGTGAGCCATGGAGTACAAGTTATCTGCCCATACTAGATGAGTAGCACGCCTAATGATTGGCAGATCTACGCCGTACCGACTCGCCCCCCGACGACCAACGCACTCATTCAGAACGCGGCAGGCAACAAGATGCCATTCCCAAGCAGATTCAACCCCTCCCTGCCGAATCGACCGCGTGAACGGGAAATCGCTGGTAGCGGCGCCGCCAAGAGAGGCCGTGGCAGACATATCCAAACCCTCCTCCAAAAGGGCTGCGACAATGTCCGGCGGGAACTCTCAATATAGCAAACTGACCACTACGACAACCAGACGAAGTTCATCAAAAGCAGCTCGTACATCAGCACTCAACAGGAAAACTAGCGAATCGCGTCTCCATTCAACTCCACGTTGCACCAGTAGCTGCAGTCCTACGAAGATGTGCTCCGTGCTGCGATCCTCCTCAAAGCCGAAAACCATGAACTTCCGCCATTTGTCGCCCAAGTGATGCCTGGAGTGCTCACGCGCAAGCTCAACCAAGCATGACATGCACCACTTGGACATTGTAGTCGATAAACGTGTGCCACGAGAGTCCGATTATCAAACGGCGGATTTGCATTTCGCAACGAAGAAAAGGTCAAGCTGTCTCCAACTGATAGGCTCGCCAATGAGATCGCCGCTAAAACGTTTCTTGAACACGTCGTGCATCACCTCAACGACCGCCACGGGTAGATTCATAAACATTTCCGATACTAGAATGTCAGCGCCACCAGCCTTGCCAGAACAAAGTTTTGCTCTAGCCTTTAACGTGACATGCAAATCCCAACCAACCCCAATTGATCGTGCAGCACAGCGCAGGGTGCGAACGCGAGCACGGTGATGCGCCACGGTCGCGTCTGTAACGCTACTGTCGACGTACTTCGTGGTACAATGCAGGAAAAGCTCACGGCTCCATGCGGCTCGATCGACACAACGAACGCCGTTCCCCTCCAGTACCCATGGCGGCAGCCGGTGTTTCTTGGAAGCAATGTGAAGGATCTTCTCCGCTTGCCATTTTCTTCGAAGACATTGTGCAGCCCGCCGCCAGTGCCGTCACTGAGACAAATCAGTAGTAAGCCTTGCAGCCTCCCCTGCGTCTCGGAGTTCCTGCGGCCGGGCACGCAAGCGCGAAGTTGCAGATGCAATGACCGAGTGGGGTACAGAACGGGCAGCATCGTATACCACACGAGACACTGCACTGAGTGTCGTGTCGATGCCA